TAAGTGATGAGAATGTTGACTGCGTCTGTTTGCTTCTGATACAGGTGAAACAGTGTTCTTCATTGTCAGATTTTGTTCAGAGAACAAGTAGAATCTTATAGAACAGTTCGAAATGGCGTATCGTTTGGGTCACGTGGCAACATTGTTTGAGTGCGAGCTAGGGACAAGACATTTCATTCATAGTCATTTTATAAAACTATATGGCGCAGGACATCACTGACATGGAGTTCTTATAAATTTTAATGATAGTGTGAAGTTTAAATAATTCATCTTTTTCAAGAGATGAAATTGATTCATGTTCGAGCAAAATGTAGTCAACTGCTTGAACAAAAGTTATTCAACACGAATTAAGTAATAAGGAGCTTTGAGAACTGTATTTAGTACAATAAAGAAAGGAGAGAAAAACTGACTCTGAATACAACATGGAGAATCGGTTTCCAATAAAATTTACTATTGTAGTCATCACTGAGTATTTGTACGCATCCAGTGAGATATCATTTGAGTTTGGCGATGTTCACTCCCGCAGATATTTCGTTTTTATTAACCTAAGATGTTCCTCACGGGCTGTAGCATACCCAGAAGCTTTTAAGTCGCGTTCTCCGTAAGGAAACACGGAGTAAAGCTGAAAGATATCTCATTCGGTAGAGGATTATTTACTGTGGATATTATTACTTTGGATAAAAAAGTCATATACTTAATTTTTCAGGCATTTTTGAGAAAGTCTATTTTCAACATCTCAAAAGGTTCGAAAGAGAGCTTTGAAGCCTGGATCACTAATAGTAGTAGGTGGTAGGTGAAGACTTTTGTAATAAAACTTAAATGAATTCTGACGTGTAGTTGGGGGAAAATCAAGGCCAATGTTTCTATTTTTAAAAAACGTAGTAAACAAAGCATTTTTACGGTTGTAACCTTCAAGTTTACTTGATATACTCAACTTTTCAATCTCTGTCAAATGGCGGCTTCAGATATTTTAGAAAACGGATTGATTAAATTTAAAGTTGACGTTTCCTAGGTCATTTTTTGATAAAATCATGCTTTACGTCTACTGTTCTGAAAAATCTACATGTTTATCAAAAACGACATGATTTCTACATAATCGATACGGACTACAACAGTAGCACAGTAAAAAGGTGGTGGCTTTGGATAAATGTGCGTAAAAACACCTGCTATCAGTTGTTTGTTCTAAAAACATTCTTTTATAATTCAGATATTACGTTGTTTAATAAAACATGTTCATTTGCTGAACTGTTATCAATATTAATTGATTTAAATATATTATTTTCATCTGTGCTTACCGATGGTTATGTTTTTCGGTGTTATATGAAATGATTGTTGAATGTAATTATTAGTAGAATTATAATTAATACAAAGTTATGAGGATATGTTGCGCACCATTTATTGTTTTATTAATATCTGTCAGAATTTAAATGATGAAGTAGGAGAAGCTTTTAATTATTTTCGATGGGCATGTCCCTTTATATATGAAAATCAAAAATATTGACCATTTAAGACCACTAATTAAATATTTATAGATAATACGACGATGGAAAATGTATTAGTTCGTAACTTTCACAGTGATGTTTATTTGTCTGTTTTGATAAAAATAGACTGAGGCCAACTGTTTCACACATATTTCTTGCTATTGTACAGCTACTAGTAGTGATGGCCAATGATAGTAAGTTTAAATTTACTGTCAATTCACAGTATCGAATAACTGAACTTTAATTCGCGACTTTATACGGCATAAATCACACCTTTTACTGTAGGCGTGTGTGAGCGTGAGGTTAAGTGCCGTTAACTTTCCTTTCTATGTTGATAATTAATATAACTCAGTAAATCTAATTTATTGATGATTCTGTAGCTTCGATTATTAGATGGAAAGTTAAAACGCCTAGATGGGTAGTTTAATGAATTTTATTTGTTTTAGTGTGATGTACACACACTCTGTTCGTTCATTTAATTCTAATTTATCGCAAAGATTGAATCGTTCTATATCTCTTGATCTTATTTTTTCTCTCTCTTTTCTATGCAAATATACAAAGAGATATAGGCTAGAAACTATCGTAGTCGTTGATGTAGTAACTCTATATATAGACTACTATTTATTGTTTAAGCGATACAATAAAATATATTTCTTCTATAAATGTAAACAAAGAAATAAAGCAAATGATTCATATCAACCGTTTGAATATACAAATATGTCTATTACTTTTCTTTTAATTCTACTTCACATACGTTAATTGTGTGGTGAATGAATGTCTGTGTATGTATGATTATATTATGTTTTTAAAGACCACCGGAGACAAAGCGTCGAAATTCCGCCTGATCAATTGAGCCGTCATGGTTGACGTCTGCAGCATTGAAAGCAATATCCGCGGCATCAAAGCCAACGCCATAACCGCCACCCACAGACGATCCGTAACTCGATGATGAATATCCACCATCATATCCTCCTTCGAAACCACCAGCATAACCACCGCCAAAACCGGCATTATAACCAGAGTCAGAATATAGTGCACCGCTATATCCACCTGAAATCACAAAAAAAGAATAATCCAAACTACTCAGAAAGATTCTTAGTTACTTTTGCTATCTATCTGCATTGGAAAAAAAATATTTACCTCCATATCCTGAATCATAACCAGATTGGGAGGAGTACGAACTAGCATAATCAGCTCCGCCGAAACCACCTACACCTCCATAGCTACCAAAGGATGCCTCTTGTCCATAACTTTGCACTCCAAATCCAAGGCTTGGTGGTGAAATATCTTCGACCACACCTGCTTGTCTCGCTTCTTGTAACAAAGTATGGGAATCTCTAAGCGTAACACCATATCGTGCAACATAGGACTGTGGATTTTCTGCTTGAACCCCAAGTCGTTGAAATTGTCTTACGACACGAGCTTGAATTGGTTCATATTGGATGATGATATTTCTTGGTCGTGCGTATTGTCGAGCGGCAGCAGCCCGTTGAACAATGACGCGACGTTTAGCTTGACGTCCGTATGGGATCCATCTTTCAATGATGATATCACCTAGAAATGGAAATGAGCGTTTATAAAGCTAGAGAAACAGCCAGAATAGCCGATGGAAAAGCTTGATAAAAAGGTGCCGTTAAGGAGTCACTTGATATTCCAAAGTTGCACCTACGCTTCAAGTAAGATCTTTTACCGCTTGCAGAATATACAGAAAACGCAACTTACGTGGTCTTGGTGGAAGAGGTGGAAGACGTTCGATGATAACTGAGCGTGGTGGTACTGGTAATGCAGCCAAACGACGAATGACTGTTTGACTTTGGATTACTTGAGGTGGCACTGGCGGTCGTTCACGAAGAACTAGTGGGGGACTGGAAAACAAATCATCAGTTAGTTGAAGATGATTACTCAATATCGTAATTAGCAGAATGTTTCTTACGGTGCTGGACGAGGTGGAGCTTGTTGTCTGATGCGGAGCGGGGGTGGCGGTGGTGGCTGTGGTGGTCTAACTTCTCTGATGATGAGTG